ACTTTCATAGTTCCTTGATAATGTGAGTAGTCACGAAATCGCTTGGAATTTCTCTATTCTTTCAGAGTGGTTGTTTTGTATATATATATATATATATATATATATATATATATATATATATATATATATATATATATATATATATATATATATATATATATATATATGTTTATTTCTCTTATGTAACCTTGGTAAGAAAGATATCTCCACTTCTGGTTAGTGTGACTTTGTAAATAGTCCAAGTCGGACCGAAACGTCGTCGTAAGCTTCTCTCTTTTATGTGCGGATTATTTGTGTATCGTTCCAGTCACGGTATTGTGCCTTTTTTTGTTATTTATATCTCGGAATTATTTTGTCTTCTTCCTTTGCATTCAGGAGTATTTATGTTCATTCTCTAGTGTGTTGAACCATGCAGGAGTGGTTCAAACAAGACGTTGGTAAATATACAAGCCAACAAATACATTCCTGTTGTTAATGTTTTGTTAATACGGAATCAAGTATCCAATTATTGAGTAACTTAATACACTGCTCTTACTTTCATAATTACGAGAAAAACGAATCGTAATTATCGTTTTCATTTCTCGCCTTAGGGCTTAAATAATGCACATGAATTCCTAGACTCATGCGTAGGCCATTATAAAATATATTGGAACGCAGTCATGCATTTTGCCAGGCTTCTGTGCTTGTTGGTTGGTTAATGGGGTTTAAAGCCTGTCGACTACACTAGGGGTCGTTTAGGCTGCACTTATTCTTTTTAGGGAACAGACATGAATATTTTAATCCCTAAAATAAGGATTATACTTTCAGCATATATACGCTGAGAGAAATACACCTTTCGACACTGGAGGACAGGAGACGGAGGGGAGACATGATAATAGCATATTAAATACTGAGAGGAATTGCCAAGGTGGATAGAGACATAGGATGTTCCAGAGATGGGACACAGCAACAAGTGGTCATAATTGGAAGCTGAAGACTCAGATGAGTCACAGGGATGTTAGGAAATATTTCTTCAGTCATAGAGTTGTCAGAAAGTAGAATAGTCTGGAGAGTGTTGTAGTGGAGGCAGAATCCATACATAGCTTTAAGAAGAGGTACGATAAAGCTCGTGGAGTAGGGAGAGAGTGGACCAAGTAGCGACCAGCGAAGAGGCGGGGCCAGGAGCTGTGAATCGACCCCTCCAACCACAATTAGGTGAGCACACACACACACACAGATGTGACTCGGCTCTTGCCGAGTTAAGTACACACACACACACACACACACACACACACACACACACACACACACACACACACACACACAAACACACACACACACACACACACTTTTAACTGACCTACTGGATATCCCACGCACATATTTCTTCGTTTCCAAATCAAATAGACATTAATTAGAATCTTAATTTTCGTTCCAAATCCAAGGTCACTTAAAGTCTATGTAAATTCAACTCTTTAATAGTTTCTTATTAATATCATGGTAGTCTCAGTTTGACACTACCATGATATTAACTGACACATAAACACACACATAATCATACAGAGCGTAACGAATTGAAAAAAAAAATCACCAGTGATAAAATATAATTCCCATAAATATCCGATATTGGATTTAAATACTAACAGTACAGAGCAGTACCTTATAACAGCACTGAGGGCAGTACCTTTCACATTATAGAACCTTGATAAGCCACAGATGTCTCCTGTCTGTGGTTTATGAGGCTCTGATGACACTGATGTTACCACTAAAACGTAGTTAGGACATATAATTTGATAAAACACGTACCTTACTACATTTAGAGTCTATAAACTTCATATATATATAAACGGCTTCAGGAAGAAATCCAAATACTCTTCCTTGAAGCCGTTTATGCACTTATATATATATATATATATATATATATATATATATATATATATATATATATATATATATATATATATATATTATTGTAACCACGAACGAGTGGTATTGATCAATAAACACACTGCGCTAACCAAGGATTCGAACCCATGTTGTACTGGCCTGCCTCATGGTAAGCGAGAACCACATGACTCTTTAAACCACGGGACCATCCAACCGTACAAGAATGGCGCAGCCAGCACACACCTAGCTGTTGGGCCGCCATCCGAGGGCATACTGAGGTGTGGGAGCTTCTAAGCTAATTTCATTCTCATCCGTTTGGTGTACTAGCCTCACGAGCAACATTTATATATTATTGTAACCACGAACGAGTGATATTGATCAATAACAACACTGCGCTAGCCAAGGATTCGAACCCATGTTGTACTGGCCTGCCTCATGGTAAGCGAGACCCACATGACGCTTTAAACCACAGGACCACCCAACCCTACAAGAAGCTAGCTGTGTGCTGGCTGCGCAATTCTTGTAGGATTGGGTGATCCTGTGGTTTAAAGCGTCATGTGGTTCTCGCTTACCATGAGGCAGGCCAGTACAATATGGGTTCGAATCCTTGGCTAGCGCAGTGTTGTTATTGATCAATACCACTCGTTCGTGGTTACAATAATATATATGTGTGTGTGTGTGTGTGTGTGTGTGTGTGTGTGTGTGTGTGTGTGTGTGTGTGTTTATATATAATTCTTTTCAGGATTCTACTCAAGTCATACAGGTTTTCAGGTCACAATGGTAAATGTTTTAATACTTAGCAAAATTCTTTTAGAGTTTCTGACTTTATAATCTGGGCTTCTAAGAAACGTTTTACAAAATGAAATTAATACTTATCTAGTTTTGAAAAAAAGATCTCGTAAGTCTTTTTTCTTCCCAAATGTTCAGTGTAGTGTTAGTTATCGCACTGGTAAACATTTTAATGATCATCTTGAAAATTTTCGATGCAGTAAGTCATTCATTATACTTAAAATGCTTAATATATTTCACTTATTTCAGATTTCGTCTCTGCAAAGTTTAATGTGACGGCTACCGAGTCACTGAACCAGGAATGTTTTATTAACAATAATTTATGCATTGGACGTTTTTCTTAAAACAGTTTACCAGAATCTGCTGACACACAGATGTCTGCAGACTGTGGCTGCAATGTTTCTAAGGAAAAATAAACAATATTTGTTTTTATTGATTTCGTTTTGGTACCGAGAGAGCATTACTTGTTTTTATTGATTCGAATGGATAAACTTGCGCAATGAGCAATATGATAAACATTCCTGAAGGTTTGAGGTTATCCAGTCTGTGATGGAGTTCCTAAGTGAATAATCAATTTGCAACAAGTGTCGTGTTAAACACAGTATGACGGTAGAGTTTGTTAAGGGAGAGTAAAATAAGTGGATTACAATGGTTCGTAGGAGCCCTGCAAGGCAGGTCACACTACGGTAGTCTGCAAGGAGTAACTGTCACAGGCGTATGCACTAAGCTTGCAGGGGTCAAGGGCGGGGTTGTCATGGATGGAACCTTTGTGGTCGTGTAGGTCTGAGCGGAGCGAGTTCGACTGTGGACTGGTTGTGGAGTAGATGGTGGTATTGAGAACATCGAAGTAGTCACTGTGGGTTTTGAGCAGGTTGAAGTTGTCACTACGGATTCTGGGGACATCGAAATCGCCACCATGAGTTTTAAGGATATTAAAGTCACCATCACAGGTTTTCAGTATATTGAAGTCGCCGCAGTGGGTTTTAAGGACATCAAGGTTGCCACCGCGGGTGGTGAGGACGTCGAATTTGCCGCCATGGGAGCTGAGGCCATTGCAGCCGACTCCGTTGATGTTGATATTAAAGTTACCTCCGTTGGTGTCGAGGACATCGAAGTCTCCGCCGTGGGTGTTAAGAACACCGAAGTCTTCTCCGTGGGTGTTGAGGACATCGAAATCCTCTCCGTGGGTGGGGACATCAAAGTCTCCTCCGTGGGTGTTTAAGGCGTGGAACTCGGGGTGGCGCAAGTTGGGCTGGGGACTGGTCTTGACGTAGACGGAAGTGTCAAAGACGCTGGTGGTCCTGGTGCTCCTGCGGTGGCGGTAATGGAGAGCTGGATAACCTAGACGTCTGGTGCGATACTGCCGCCACCGCTTCCGCAACAGTTCCTGCACCTCGCTGTTAAGGAAGCAGTACAGCACCGACACGAATACTCCCTGGGGAGAGAAGACAATGATCGCCTTATGGGAAGAGAACACGATACAAAAAATTATTGGGGAAGACGAAATAACATGAATACCCTATGGGGAGAGAAAATATCATGAATACTGCCTGGGAGAGAACGTGATATGAACACACTATGGGGAGAGGGTATGGCATGAATTGTGCCTGTGTAGATTATGACAACTCTCCCTGAAAGTAAAATGAGATGAACGCCCCGAAGAGAGAGCTTTACAAGAACTTCTTTGGGAAAAGCATAACAAGAAAATTCCTTGGGAGAACATGACAAAAACAACCCTTGGGGAAAACATGACAAAAACAACCCTTGGGGAGAACATGACAAAAACAACCCTTGGGGAGAACATGACAAAAACAACCCTTGGGGAGAACATGACAAGAACATTCATTGACTAGAAAGGGACAAAAAAGAACTCCTGTGGAAAACATATTTTTAAGAATACAGTCTGAGAAAGAAACATGACACAAACACCCCCAAGGAAGACACAAGATATAAGAAATAGAGATAAAACGGCTATCGTGCTTTCATTAGTGCATAACCAGAGTGTAATAAAGGTAATGATGGTAATTAATGGCAGTGTAATGATGTTGAAAGCTTCTATTGGAAGCTTATCCAGAGAGAGCTTAGCCAGAGAGAGAGAGAGACTGACAGACAGACAAAAATATGAATTATGATAGCTCAGGTCTTTATAACATGGTGACAGTACTTCAGTAACTCCGTATTACTGAAAGCAAAGAAAAATTACTACTGGAAGCCCGAATATGGCTATTACTAGAATCCAGGACCTACCTACTAGTGGAAGCATTTGTCTGTCTGCTGAAAGCTGGGACCTACTTACTACTGGAGCAAGGAACTATTTCTAATAAACAAGGATAGGGCTACTGTTG